CACACACGTGTGTGTGTGTGTGTGTGTGTGTGTGTGTGTGTGTATATTTTTTTTTTTTTTTTTTTTTTTCAGGCTGGGTGCACGGGCTCACACCTGTAATCCCAGCACTTTGGAAGGCCAAAGCAGGTGGATCACTTCAGGCCAGTAGTTTGAGACCAGCCTGGCCAACCTGATAAAACTCCTCTAAAAATATAAAAATTAGCCAGGTGTGGTGGTGCATGTCTGTAATCCCAGCTATTCGGGAGGCTGAGAATTGCTTGAACCCAGGAGGCAGAGTGCACAGTGAGTGGAGACTGTCTCAAAAAAACAAATTTCAGACACAAGGTCTTGCTTTGTTGCCCAGGCTGGAGTGTGGTGACATGAGTCATAGCTCGCTGTAGCCTCAAACTCCTGGGTTCAAGGGATCCTCTGGTCCCAGCCTCCTGAGTAGCTAGGACTACAGTTGCTCCCCACATTGCCCAGCTAATTAATAAAAGATCTTTCAATAGAAACAGAATCTTGCCATCTTGCTCAGGCTAGTCTCGAACTCCTGGGCTCCAGTGATCCTCCTGCCTCAGCCTCCCAAAGTGCTGGGATTACACGAATAAGTCACCATGCCCAGTCTTTTCTCTTCTTAATTAGTTGTGGCAGGTAAGGTTTCTCTTATGTGCTAACAACAACAAAAATGTTCTGTCTGCTGCAACCCCTCCTCTGATCTCCCCCAACCAGAAAGGTGTACGTTTTTCAGCTGTATGAGCAAATCTCTTCTATTCAAAAAAAAAGAAGTGCCTGTCTTTACTCCATTGGGTTAATCATCCACCCTTCCACTTCAGGCCTCACCCCCTATCAGAAAGGAAGAAAACCCCACACAAGCTGATGTAAACAATAATAGTCACCATGTCACAGAACAATAAATTCAGGGTTAGGGCAGCTCTAGAGTTGGTTAATTCAGTGGCCTCATGATACCATCAACCAGGTTCTTTCTGTCTGTCCAGTCCACCTTCCCCAGCATCTCAGCTTTGTCCTAAGGGTATTCCCTCCTCATGGTCCCAAGACAGCTTCCAAGAGTCCATCCATCACATGCAGAAATAGCAGGTTCCAGAGGAAGAAGACACCAACTTTTAAACATGCCTCTTTTCAGAAGGAAGGAACGCCTTCCTGGTACATGCCTTCAGGTCTCCCTAACTTGAAATCTGTCATGTGCTGTCTTGATCTGGGGCCTCCCAGAAGTGGATCCAGGAGTAAGAATTTGAGTGCAAGCAGTTTATCTGGGATGGAACTGAACAGTGCATGTCCCTCCAAATTCATATGTTAAAGTCCTAACCCCCCAGTGTGGCTGTATGTAGGGATGGAGCCTTTAGGTAATTAGATGGAGGTAATTAGGTTAAGTGAGATCATAAGCGTGGGGCCCTTGTTCAGTGGGATTGGTGTCCTTAGAAGAGGAGACAGCACAGATCTCGCTCTTTCCCTGTGTGCAGTCTGAGGAAAGGCCACATGAGGACACGTTGAGAAGGCGGCTGTATGCAAGCAAGGAAGAGAGCCCTCACCAGGAAGTGAATTGGCTGACACCTTGATCTTGGACTTCCCAGCCTCCAAAACTGTAAGAAAATTACTGTTGTTTTGTGATATTTTGTTAGCCCTAGCAGACTAAAACTGAGTCCAGGAATCACTGATGGGGAGAAGAAAAATGAGACAGGAACATGAGAACAGCCCAGCCCAAGTATAAATAAGTAGTTACTGCTGAGAGCTGCTGGGTTCCAGTCCTGCTGAGGCTCGTTGTGAAGACTGTGTGACACATGTATCTTGGAGACAACCCACCCAAGTGGAGAGGGAGGTAAGGATTTTGTTTTTGCTTTTGTTTTGAGTCAGAGACTTGCTCTGTTACCCAGGCTGGAATGCAGTGGCATGATCTCGGCTCACTGCAACCTCGGCCTCCCAGGTTCAAGCCATTCTCCTGCCTCAGGCTCCCAAGTAGCTGGGATTACAGGCACCTGCCACCATGACTGACTAATTTTTTTTTTTTTTTTTTGTGTTACTCTGTTTTCTGGGGACGGAGTTTCACTCTTGTTACCCAGGCTGGAGTGCAATGGCGCCATCTCGGCTCACTGCAACCTCCGCCTCCTGGGTTCAGGCAATTCTCCTGCCTCAGCTTCCTGAGTAGCTGGGATTACAGGCACGCACCACCATGCCCAACTAATTTTTTGTATTTTTAGTAGAGACGGGGTTTCACCATGTTGACCAGGATGGTCTCGATCTCTTGACCTTGTGATCCACCCGCCTCGGCCTCCCAAAGTGCTGGGATTACAGGCTTGAGCCACTGCGCCCGGCCACTAATTTTTTAATTTTTAGTGGAGATGGGGTTTCACCATGTTGTTCTCAAGTAATCTGCCCACCTCAACCTCCCAAAGTGCTGGGATTACAGACGTGTGCCACCACACCCAGCTAATTTTTGTATTTTTAGTAGAGATGGGGTTTCGACCTGTTGACCAGCCTGGTCTTGAACTCCTGACCTCAAGTGATCCACCTGCCGTGGCCTCCCAAAGTACTGGAATTACAGGCATGAGCCACGGCGCCTGGCCGAAGCTGAGATATTCGAGAGTTACCACCCATACACTGAGGGCTGCGCCCTAGGCACTTCTGACCTGTCCCACATGAGGGCCAGGAGAAAGCCCCCAGGCAGAGTGGGGTAGGGAGGACGTGCTGTTGACATACAGTAGCCCAGGGCTCAGCAACCTCTTTCTGTAAAGGACTAGATAGTACATATTTTCAGCTTTGCAGGCCAAACATTCTCTGTTGCAACTACATGTTCCAATAAACCCACTGTAAACTGAAAACATCACTGAAGTGAGAGGATCGCTTGTGCCCAGGAGTTTATCAGCCTGGGCAACATAGTAAGACCCCATCTCTACCAAAAGACTTAAAAAATGAGGTAGGTGTGGTGACACACACCTGTAGTCCCGGCTACTTGGGAGGCTGAGGTAGAAGGATCACTTTAGCTGGGAGTTCAAGGCTGCAGTGAGCTGTGTTCGAACTACTGCACTCCAGCCTTGGGCGACAGAGCAAAATTCTGTTTCAAAAGGAAGGAAAAAGAAGGGAAGGGGAGGAGAAGAGAGGGGAGGGGAGGGAAGGGAAAAGGTAAAGGAAAAGAAAAAGAAGAAGGGAAAAGATCACAAGCTGAAAATACATGGAATACACATAAGTCAGTGAACATCATAGCTTAGCCTAACTTACCTTAAACAGGCTGAGAACACTTAACATTAGCTTACAGGTGGCCAGAATCATCTAACGTAAAGCCTATTTTAAAATAAAGTGTTGAATATCTCACATAATTCTTTAAACACTATACTGAACGTGAAAAACACAATGTATGGGTGCCCAGAGTAGGATTTCTACCAAATGCGTGTCACTTTCACACCCTTGTAAAGTTGAAACATTGTAAGTTCAACCATCTTTAAGTTGGGACCATCTGTATTTGGTTCTGTCCTTGAGCGAAAGCTGCCTCCAGCGACATGCAAACAGATGAGCACAGTTGTGTGCCAATAAAACCTTAAAAACAGGTGGTGGGCGGTGCCTAAGCCAATTACCAACGAGGAAATGGACCATTAGATGGATGTGGACCAATCAGGGCTGACCCTCTGAAGCACGTGACCACCCAGGGTGCAAATAGATTTGCCCTGCCCCATCTTCCTAGCCTTTTCTCATGGCCACTGCCCTCGGCCGTGAGGTCTGCAGAGCCTCACAGCAGGTCCCAGTCCCAACAAACTACATCCCAAGAAGTGGATTTAGCTCTGGGGTTTGGTTTGGCTTTTTCTTTTCTCCACGGACTGCTGATGGCTGGAACAGGAGCTTGGCACCTCCACCCTGACCCAGACACAAGCCTGTCTGTCGCCCTCAAATGGAGCTGGCCCGAGACTACAACCGCGTTGGTTCCCAAGACAAGGAAAAGTCAGAAGAGGCCGGATGCGGTGGCTCAAGCCTGTAATCTCGACACTTTGGAAGGCTGAGGCGGGCAGATCACCTGAGGTCAGGAGTTCGAGACCAGCCTGGCCAACGTCTGGACTAAAAATACAAAAATTAGCTGGGCGTGGTAGCTCCCACCTGTAATCCCAGCTACTCAGGAGGCTGAGGCAGGAGAATCGCTTGTATCTAGGAGGCAGAGGTTGCAGTGAACCAATATCGCACCACTGCACTCCAGCCTGGGCGGCAAGCTCCATTAAAAAAAAAAAAAAAAAAAGCCAGAAGAGACGGGGAGGAATTGGAGTGTGATCTCCCATCCCATTAGCCCAGATCTGGGACTCCCAGGTGGAACGTTCCAAACCTATCATTTTTTTTTCTCTCTCTCCCTCTTAAGGCACATCTTCCAATACTCTGCAGTCATTAAGCAGAATGAGGCAGGTCTGGGTGTGCTGATTGGGGGAAGATGTCCACGGTATATAATTAACTGGAAAAAGCTATCATGGAACTGTGTGCCTGCAACGATCCCTATTTGTGAAAGTGAAAGGGAGGACATTCGTATAGAAGCTGGTGTGCAAATAGAAAATGCCAGGGCGGATGCACCAGGCAGCTCTTAGCAGAGCTATATTAGGAGAAGGGAGGCGCTGGAGGGGACTCCATTCAGTAGGCTCCCCTTCGATAGGGTTTGAATTCCTTGCATTTTATCATGAGCACGGATGGCTTTTCTAAGAAAAGAAATCCACCAGGTGCGGTGGCTCGTGTCTGTAATCCCAACACTTTGGGAGGATGAGGCGGGAGGATCACTTGAGGCCAGGAGGTGAAGGTCGCAGTAAACTATGATTCCACCTCTGCACTCCAGTCTGGGTGGTGGAGGGAGACCCTGTCTCATTAAAATAAAAAAAAAAACAGAAAATGAGACACTGTCTTTAAATATATAAATAAATAAATAAATAAATCTCTCTGTCTGTGGGTGGGGGACGGGGAGGGCATGGTGGCACGCACCTATAGTCCCAACTACTCGGGAGGCTGAGGCAGGAGAATCGCTTGAATCCAGGAGGCAGAGGTTGTAGTGAACCGATATCGCGCCACTGCACTCCAGCCTGGGCCACAAGCCTGCAGTCATTAAGCAGAATGGTTGTGTGTGTGTGTGTGTGTGTGTGTGTGTGTGTGTGTGTCCTGTTGATTCTGTGTCTTTGGAGAACCCTCACTAACACAGCAGAACTTTACAAATTGCCTCTCTAGGCTGCAGCTACCAATTTTATAGATGAGAAAACTGAGGCACAGGGAGGGGAATGACTGCTCAGGGCCTCTGGATGCTGGAGTCTGGGACACTTCTGTTCCAATCTCACAGCCTCCCCCTTCCCTGTTCCCCATTGGAAGGAGCAAAAAAAATTTAAACAGCAAAGAGACTTGGGAAGACCTGGAATCGGCTCCTCCTCTGGCCGGCTGGGTGGCTTGGAGCATCTCGCCACTCGCCCCATGGATACCTGGCCCTGGCTTCCGTACCACAGAACCACTAGTGAGAAAGTGACTTCCTTTACTGCACCATCAATCCCTCTAATCCCTCAAAAAAAACCAAGTCTCAGTATGAGCGTGGGGGCTCACGCCTGTATTCCTAGCAGATTGAGAGACCAAGGCAGGCGGATCACCTGAGGTCAGGAGTTCGAGACCATCTTTGCCAACATAGTGAAACCCCCCCCACTAAAAATACAAAAATTAGCAGGGCGTGGTGGTGCATGCCTGTAATTCCAGCTACTCGGGAGGCTGAGGCAGGAGAACTGCTTGAATCCAAAAGGCAGTGGTTACAGTGAGATTGCGCCACTGCACTCTAGCCTGGGTGACAGAGCGAGATTCTGTCTCAAAAAAAATCAATTCTGCCAGGCGCTGTGGCTCATGCCTGTAACCCCAGCACTTTGGGAGGCCAAGGTAGACAAAGCATGAGGTCAGGAGTTCAACACGAGCCTGATCAACATGGTGAAACCCCGTGTTACTAAAAATTCAAAAATTAGGCAGGTGTGGTGGCGCAGGCCTGTAATCCCAGGTACGGATTTTCTTGTATATTTAGTACATCGTTTGAACCTGGGAGGTGGAGGGTTCAGTGGGCCGAGATTGTGCCACTGCTCTTCAGCCTGGGTGACAGAGCGACGGTCTAAAAAAAAAATTCTCAGAGAGGCGCTAGCTAGCAGGACTTTCACACCCCATGATGCTTCCTAATCCACTTTTTTTTGCAAAAAGAACCAGTCCCAGCCTTAAATTCTTGAGAAAGTATAGGGAGAATATCTCTTTGTGCTTTCATGATTTTTATTTTTTGAGACAAAGTCTCGGCTCTGTCACCAGGCTGGAGTACAGTGGCGCAATCTCAGCTCGCGGCCACCTCTGCCTCTCAGGCTTAGACCGTCCCACCTCCACCTCTCAGGTAGCTGGGACTGCAGGCTCACGCCACCATGCTCAGCTAATTTTTGTATTTTTTGTAGAGATGGAGTCATGCTATGTTGCCCTGGCTGGGCTGGAACTCCTGAGCTCAAGGTATCCTCCACCCTAAGCCTCCCAGAGTGCAGGGATTACGGGCCTGGGCCACAGCACCCAGCCACATTTCGTCTGTTTTATGCCTGTTCGTGGGATTACGGGCCTGGGCCACGGCACCTGGCCACATTTTCTGTTTTATGCCTGTTCGTAGGATTACGGGCCTGGGCCACGGCACCCGGCCACATTTCGTCTGTTTTATGCCTGTTCGTGGCCGCTCCTGGTGCTTTTCCATTCATGGCTGTGAGAGGACATTCCTTTTGTGAGTGAGTTGGGTTAAGTTGAAAACCAGGTTAGTCCATTTTAGAAATAAAGTAGAATCGCTTGTGGGTAGACCAGCGGTAGCCTGGAGCCCCGAGGAGCTTGCACCAGCCTCCCTGGCCACGCTGGCGGCCTTACACCGCTGCATTCTAGAAGCTGTTCTTCAGCAAGGGGGCGCTGCAACTCATCCCTCACACACCTGCCCCCTTTTCTTTCATTACTATTCTTTCTCTTTCTTTTTCTTTCTCTCTTTTCTTCCTTTCCTTTTTTCCTTTTCTTTCTTTCTCTCCCCCTCCCCTCCCTTCCCTCCTCTCCCCTCCCCTCCCCTCCCCTCCCCTCTCCTCCCCTCCTCTCCTTTCTCCTCCCCTCCCCTTCTCTCCCCTCCTCTTCCCTCCCTTTCCCTCCCCTTCCCTCCCCTCTCCTTCTCTCCCCTTCCCTTCCCTTCCCTCCTTTTCCCTCCCCTTCCCTTCCCTTCCCTCCTTTTCCCTCCCTTTCCCAACCCCTTCCCTTCCCTTTCTTCCCCTTCCCTTCCTTGCCATTTCCCTTTCTTTTCCTTGATGGAATCTCATTCTGTCGCCCAGGCTGGAGTGCAGTGGTTCAATCTTAGCTCACTGCAAACTCCATCTCCCAGGTTCAAGCCATTCTTCTGCCTTAGCCTCCTGAGCAGCTGGGACTACAGGTGCACACCATCACGCCCGGGTAATTTTTTTTTTTTTTTTTTTTTTTTTGAGATGGAGTTTCGCTCTTGTTACCCAGGCTGGAGTGCGATGGCGCGATCTCGGCTCACCGCAACCTCCGCCTCCTGGGTTCAGGCAATTCTCCTGCCTCAGCCTCCTGAGTAGCTGGGATTACAGGCACGTGCCACCATGCCCAGCTAATTTTTGTAGTTTTAGTAGAGACAGGGTTTCACCATGTTGACCAGGATGGTCTCAATCTCTTGACCTCGTGATCCACCCGCCTCGGCCTCCCACAGTGCTGGGATTACAGGTGTGAGACACCGCGCCCAGCCTTTTTTT